GTGACTAGTGACAGAGTGAGGGAGGGTGTCACTAGTGACAGAGTGAGGGAGGGTGTCACTAGTGACAGAGTGAGGGAGGGTGTCACTAGTGACAGTCACCACCTCCTTCACTCTGTCACTAGTCACCCCCTCCCTCACTCTGTCACTAGTCACCCTCTCTCTCACTCTGTCACTAGTCACCCCCTCCCTCACTCTGTCACTAGAGTGAGGGGGTGACAGAGTGAGGGAGGGGATGACTGGTGACAGAGTGAGTGAGGGGGTGACTAGTGACAGAAGAAGGGAGGGAGTAGTGACAGAAGGAGGGAGGGAGTAGTGACAGAGGGAGGTGGTGACTAGTAACAGTCATCACCTCCCTCACTCTGTCACTAGTCACCCCTTCCTTCCCTCACTCTGCCACTAGTCACCCCCTCACTCTAGTGAAAGAGTGAGGGAGGGGGTGACTAGTGACAGAGAGAGGGAGGGGGTGAATAGTGACAGAGAGAGGGAGGGGGTGAATAGTGACAGAGAGAGGGAGGGGGTGACTAGTGACAGTGAGGGAGGGGGTGACTAGTGACAGAGTGAGGGAGGGTGTGACTAGTGACAGTGAGGGAGGGGTGACTAGTGACAGAGTGAGGGAGGGTGTCACTAGTGACAGAGAGAGGGAGGGGGTGACTAGTGACAGTCACCACCTCCTTCACTCTGTCACTAGTCACCCCCTCCCTCACTCTGTCACTGTGTCACCCCCTTCCTCACTCTGTCACTAGTCACCCTCTCTCTCACTCTGTCACTAGTCACCCTCTCTCTCACTCTGTCACTAGTCACCCCCTCCCTCACTCTGTCACTAGAGTGAGGGGGTGACAGAGTGAGGGAAGGGGATGACTGGTGACAGAGTGAGGGAAGGGATGACTGGTGACAGAGTGAGGGAGGGGGTGACTAGTGACAGAAGAAGGGAGGGAGTAGTGAGAGAAGGAGGGAGGGAGTAGTGACAGAGGGAGGTGGTGACTAGTAACAGTCACCACCTCCCTCACTCTGTCACTAGTCACCCCTTCCTTCCCTCACTCTGTCACTAGTAACCCCCTCACACTAGTGACAGAGTGAGGGAGTGACAGAGAGAGGGAAGGGGGTGACTAGTGACAAAGTGAGGGAGGGGGTGACTGTCACTAGTCACCCCATCCCTCTCTCTGTCACTAATCACTCCCTCCTAACTCTGTCACTGTGTCACCCCCTCCCTCACTCTGTCACTAATCACCCCTCTGTCCTTAGTGACAGAGTGAGAGAGGGGGTGACTAGTGACAGAGTGAGGAAGGGGGTGACTAGTGACATAGTGAGGGAGGGGGTGACTAGTGACATAGTGAGAGAGGGGGTGACTAGTGACAGAGTGAGGGACGGGGTGACACAGTGACAGAGTTAGGGAGGGAGTGACTAGTGACAGAGAGAGGGATGGGGTGACTAGTGACAGTCACCCCCTCTCTCACTCTGTCACTAGTCACCCCCTCTCTCACTCTGTCACTAGTCACACCCTCTCTCACTCTGTCACCAGTCATCCCTTCCTTCCCTCACTCTGCCACTAGTCATCCCTTCCCTCACTCTGTCACCAGTCACCCCTTCCTTCCTTCACAATGACAGAGTTAGGGACTGAGTGACTAGTGACAGAGAGAGGGATGGTGTGACTAGTGACAGAGAGAGGGATGGGGTGACTAGTGACAGAGAGAAGGATGGGGTGACTAGTGACTGAGTGAAGAAGGGGGTGACTAGGGAGAGAGGGGGTGATTAGTGACAGAGTGAGGGAGGGGGTGACTAGTGACAGAGGGAGGGGGTAACACAGTGACAGAGTAAGGGGGTGACTAGTGACAGAGTGAGGGAGTGGGTGACACAGTGACACAGTTAGGGAGGGAGTAACTAGTGACAGAGAGAGGGATGGGGTGACTAGTGACAGTCACCCCCCCCTCACTCTGTCACCAGTCATCCCCTCACTCTGTCACTAGTCACCCCTTCCCTCCCTCACTCTGCCACTAGTCACCCATTCCCTCACTCTGTCACTAGTCTCCCATTCCCTCCCTCTGTCACTAGTCTCCCCCTCTCCTTCCCTCTGTCACTAGTCACCCACTCCCTCACTCTGTCACCAGTCACCCCCACTCACTGTGTCTCCCCCTCACTCTGCCACCACTCAACCCCTCCCTCCCTCACTCTGCCACCAGGTACCCCCTCACTCTGCCACCTGTCACAACCTCCCACACTCTTCCACCTGTCACCTTCTCCCTCATACACTCTGTCACCTGTCACATATGCATTCACACAGACACTATATACAAAAAGCACATGTAGTCATCCAGACATGCACAAGTGCATTCACACAGACTCAAATACAAACATGCATTGATACACAGGTCTTCACAATACACACATCCAAAGGAATGCCGTATTATGAATTATATTTAACATTTATTAAAATGCACATATATTTGGCCTTCAAAGGGCCTGGGATCTAATTTTGCCCGGGGGCCCCAAAGGCTCTCAGTCCGCCCCTGCGGCAAAGGGATCTCGGACTCAGGGGGCGTGTCCAAAATGGGCCTAACACCAGTCCTAGTGGACAAACAAGTCCTGGCCACCATGAGGCGACATTGCTCCTCGTGGCATATCCGGATCCATTTTGGCGAGTCGTTTACGGCCTGCCCCAACAATCAATGTATGGAAACTGTCCGTAAAGTTCAGGCCTACCTGATACAGCCACGTGTACACGCTGTACCAGGGTTGGATCCAAACTGCCACGCGGCGGCCATGCCGCAACCAAAATAGGCCACTCCCTAGTGCACAAAGTGACCAAACGTACAGGAGACATTTTAACCCCAAAATCACATGTTTTGAATCCTTTTTAAAATTCTTTACCATACAACCTAAGGGATCCGAAATCGTTGACTCTGACGCGCCCATACTTATCAATGGAACGTCGTTGACAACGAATACTATGCACGCGTTCTTATTCAACAGTCACACCCGTTTCCTCTGGCAACAGCACCACGTGGTACAGTTACCAAGTGAAACGTACACAATAACACAATAATCACTCAGGGAATTCCCGTACACACACAGCTGTTACACCAGTCACTAAATAATCAATATTATGCCCTTTGGCGAAACTATACAGTCCCCCACGCTATAATTCTCTATATATGAATTACCCGTCTATAACACACCCCAGTAACATCGTCTTTTACTAGTATCGGTTACAGTACGGTTAGCATAGGTCAAAGCACAATTTAAGGTCACAATACAATTATTAGTGGTTAGAGTGTTAAACATGCAATAGACGACAATGATTAGTACTTATATACAGTGTCAGTAAATATACAGGGTTATGGTACCGTGCACTATGATACAGCAACACACTATTAACACTCTCGCTAGACGGCTGAGCTCGCGCTATCTAACAAGATATACACTTTACTAACAATCTTTAGCACATTTACAATCCCAACTAAACTATTGGCCAGTACCTTGAATGGACTACCTAAAACTATATACACCCGTTTTGGTTAGCCACACTGCCCAAACACCACATATAGCGAACTAGAGGGCAGAATTTACAAAATTGCCCTTCTAGTCTATTTACTCTATCAAAAGTCTAGTGGGTTCCAAATTTACACGCCTTCCCACTTAGCCAAGATAGGTTGAGAGCTAGCGAACCGAATTTACACAGGCGCCGCTTAGTCTCCCGGTCCCTCCGACCTAGCGAGCGTAATATACACCCTAGAACGCTAGTCTAGACAAGACACCGGTGTCCAGCTAGGGCTATTTACACAGGACCCCGCCTGACTAACCAGATCAAACGGTCTTACTAAAGAGCGTTCGATCGAGCGGTGCGCCTTCGCTCCTTCCCTCCGACAGAGGGGCAGATTCCATACACAGATTTA